GGCTCTGGCAGGCCAAGGAACTTAGGTGGTGCTGGCAGGGCGAGGAGTCAAGTCAAGTAAAGTTTATTTGTACAGCGCTTTTCACCATACAAATCATTGCAAAGCAACTTTACAGCAAATTAAGTTTCTACAATATTTAGTGGTAGCTTATCAGTGGTGACTGTCAGTTAATGTACATATGGCAGAAATGTACGGAAAAATCAATTTAAGACGTAATAAAACAGATGATGAACACTATTAACAGCAATTATTATATGATGCAATCAAACTTATAGCAAAATGTGGTAGTAATGTGGCTGTATGTTGTTTCAGGGTTGGCATCATCTGAGGTCCTCTGAGGGGTTGGCATCATCTCTTCTCAGGAGTTCTGGATCCAGACTGAAGCTTGTGTAAATCTACATCCCGTGGCAAAAAACAGAGAAACAAATAGAGAATAATTAGCATAGCTGCTGTTCCAACCAAGCAAAATTGATTTGTTTAACCCAAACTAAAGAATAATAATAATGTGCATTTGATCAGATATAACTGCAGTACAAGATTATGAGATGCATTAATTTAATGCTTGGCCAAAGAGATGTGTCTTTAATCTAGATTTAAACAGAGAGAGTGTGTCTGAACCCCCAAGGCGCTCTGATTGTTTTTGTTGTAGAATACGATAGGGGATATATTCACACGTTATAGAAACGAAAATGATGGTGTATAAAATTGATTTTAAGATAAAAAAATTAGATGTCAAAGAATTTACTTGACGCAGCTCAAACTCAAAACACACGGCAGCAACAAACAGGAAGTGACGTAGCCTGGGAGGAGCTTGGGAGGCACCGGCAGGGCAAGACACATGGACGGAGCCGGCATCAAGGGTAGAGCCGGCAGGGCAAGAAGCTTGGGCGGCTCTGGGACGGCCTCCAGGCCTTGAAGGATGGAAGAAGCCTTCTTCCTCCTCCTCCGTTTCCGAGAGTGTGGCACTGTAGCTTCGTCGGCCACCTCCGGGGGCACTGCAACCTCTTCGGCAACCACTGGGGCGCTGCAGCTTCGTCAGCCACCTCTGGGGGCGCTGCAGCCTCTTCGGCCGCCACTGCGGGCGCTGCAGCCTCTTCAGTCACCACCGGGGGTGCTGCAGCCTCTTTGGCCGGCACTTCTGGAGGCGTTGCAGCATCATCAGCTGTCACAGGGGGGCGCTGCAGCCTCCTTAGCTGGGGGATGTGCCAGGAACTCCACAAATCCCCCGAACGTCAGGTGGTCCAGCCCCCTCATTCTTCCCCAATTGAGGGGCTCATCGAGGGCATAATTAAACAAGTCCTTGAGAGCCACATCATTGAACCCCAAGCCCTCTGCTGCACTGCTGAACTCAAGGGCAAACTTCCTCAGGTCAGTCCCCTGTTGCAGGAGGGAGCTCAAGACCTTGAAACGGAGAATGCGTTCGTAGAGGGGGCTGGAGAGAGTGGAGACAGGCGGATGGCGCAAGCCCTTCCTCCGCTGAGTCCTCATCGTGGCCAGTTTGTTCTGTCAGGGATGGGGTGAAGGATGGAGCGGGGACTCAATGGTGCAGGAGAATGGGCTTTAATTAATGATAAAATAAAACAAAACAAAACAAGCAAACCAAAACTACCCCGAGGGGGGAAAACAGGCAGGCAACAAGCTTGGCAAGGCAAGACAGGACAAGGCAGGAAACCACAAGGGTAAATACGACGACGAACTGGCACAGGACTGCAAACATAAGGAGAATAAATAGGGAGCAAATGAGGAGGGTAATAAGGGAAACACAGGTGGGGCAAATTAACCAATAATCAGGTAACAAGATGGGTGGGGTTAGACAATTGACATGAGAGCCCATGGCACACAGGAAACTAAGACAAAAGCCATGTGCTCACGCAAAACAAAAACACAAGCACATGGCCAGCAAAACAATCACAAGCCATGTGCTTGAACAAAACAAGACTAATGAGAAGCCGCATGTTCACACAAGACATGACATGACAAAGCATGCAGCCAATGAACAACACAAGCTGTGTGCTACACAGCACAAGACGTAACATGAAAGCACGCAGCCAAAAACACGAGCTGTGTGCAACAACACAAGACATGAGGACAGAAGAGCGTATGGCCCGAGCGAACTTGAGACCACACTCTCCCACAACAAAACAGTACATGTAGCGCGAGTGTCCGAACCCCGACACCAAACCGAAACTGAATCTGAACAAGACATGAGTGCCGGGATCCGAACACCACGCTCCAACATGAAACAACATGAAACAAGGCACACAGACAAGAGAGCGCACTCGAGCACACTCGAAGCCACGCGCTCACATAAAAGCACGATATGATGGGAGTGTCAGGGCTCTGTCACAAAACCATGAATAAACCAGACCGAAGTGACAGAACCCTGACACCTTGGGCCAATTTTACAAAACTAGTGCATCCTTTGTATAATGTTTTAACAGCTTTTAAAAAATACTTGCCAAATCCGAAAAATGCAATAATTTTAAACAAAAAAATCATGTTCTATAGTGTCGAAAGCCTTAAGGAAATCAACAAATAATATAAGACTATTATCTAATATGTACTCATTAGTAACAATATTAGATTGATTTTAGACATGGTGGATTATAATATGTCATCCTTGAATAAAGCCAGTCTGTTCTTCATCAATAATGTCATCTAAACCATGTTTCAATCTTTTAGCAAATATATGTGCAAAAATCTTGGCATCATTATTTAAAAGACTAATAGGCCTCCAGTTGTCTAAGTGAAGAGTATATTTTTGTGGTTTTGGAATTGGAGTAATAACCCCTTGTTTTAATGAGTCTGGCAACTCTTCTTTATCGATAGATTCTTTATATACTGCAAAATTTATCCCTGAAGACTTTATAAAATTAATTGAGAAGTCCGTCATTACCTGGAGATCGATTATCTTTTAAATACCCAAAACATTCTTTAATTTCCTCCAGTTTTATTACATTTACATTTACATTTAGTCATTTAGCAGACGCTTTTATCCAAAGCGACTTACAAATGAGGACAATAAAAGCAGTCAAAACTAACAAAAGAGCAACAATATATAAGTGCAAATGACAAGTCTCGGTTAGCCTAGCAAGGTGTATATATATAATATATATATATATATATATATATATTATACACACACACACATATACACACACACACACACACACAAACAAAGAAAAACAAGTAGATAGAATAGAAAAAATAGAAAGCTAGTTTTTGTTTTTTGTTGTTTTGTTTAAATAAAGAAAAAATAAGAAGATAAATAGATAAAGTAGAATTAAAATAGAATAGAAAGTGTTAGAGTTAGAGGGTCAAATAAAGGTGGAACAGATGTGTTTTTAGTCGTTTCTTGAAGATGGTTAAGGACTCAGCTGCTCGGATTGATTTGGGCAGGTCATTCCACCAGGAGGGAACAGTTAATGTAAAAGTCTGTGAAAGTGATTTTGTGCCTCTTTTAGATGGCACAATAATACGCCTTTCACTTGCAGAACGCAAGCTTCTAGAGGGCACATTATTAATTATCTCTGTCTATATGAGGGAATTATCTCTTCATCACAAAAATAATTTGAGATCCTTACTAATAGTTTTTACTTTCCCCAAACCGTTCAGAAATGTATCCAGATCAGAATTAACTGAATTAGAGTTGTAGAGATATTTATAAAATTGAGTGACATATTGGGATATCTCCTTCAGATCCTCCGACACTATATTATTAATTAATCATTTATTTATTGAAGACATTTCTCCATTTCTCTTTTCCAGGTTAAAAAAAGTATTCTTTCCCCCCTGTTCCAACCAAAATTGCCTTGATCTTGTAAAAGCACCTCTTGCTTTCTCTTCGTAAATAGTGTCCAATTCTATTTGTAATGATGACAGATTGAAGAATTCTTGGGAAGTAAAATTTTCTTTACTAGACAGAACCAGTGCGATGCTAACAGATGATCCACATACGAAGTGACGTCATAGTTCCCCCACTCTATTGCTTTACTATGTTTTTTTCACCTCTTTTCTTTATTTGTTCTGTTCCTGCCTTTCTTTATGTTCATAAAAAAGCTATTTAAATGCATCTTTCTCTTTTAACAGTCATTGTCATCTTTTTTTTCTTCTCTTCTCTTCCATATGTTCAGATGACATTGGATGTATTGTTGATACATTATGTGTAATGTATGCAAAGTTGTATTTCATTAATGTCATCTCTGAATTGTTTGCAAAAAAATAATAAAGTAAACGGGGAAAAAAAATACTATGTATTTGTGTATATTTACTGAAGAAGGTGGTGAGTGACCTTGCTAAGCAATTTGACAACATTATAGGAAATATTTTTGGTGCATCAAAAATCGTGCTCATTAAGATTCCAGCAGACATGCTAATCCAGCACAAATTAGTGCATGAAAAGTCACCAGAATGAAGTATTTAAACCTTATAATTAAATACAAAATGGGTGTAAAAATGAAAAAGGTCCACTTAAAAAAAAAAAAAGTTATGGTTGATTGCTCTTCAGCTGGATATCAACACACCCATTAACGTAAACTAGGCCAGAGCGCGTACACGCCTCACGCACCGGATGCCGTGCGTGCGCCCAAAGACAGTTGGACGTAGTGGTGTATTCGAGGTAAAAAATGATATAAATACTGTTCGGTTTCTGGCACAAACCGATAGTTTTGTGTCTTAGGACATCAATGTGTCGTCACGAGCCGCAGGGTTTAATTTGGATTTGTCTGTGCATGTTTTTTTTACTCTCATAGATTTTGTTACCATTGCCATGCATTATACGACTGATAGACTGCAACAGTTGGAGTTAAAAATAATCATATGTGTTCTACTGAAGAAACAAAGTCACCTACATCTTGGATGCCCTGGGGGTAAGCAGATAAACATCAAATTTTCATTTTTGGATGAACTATCCCTTTAATTTGTAAAAGTCATGTCACCCCATACACTAGATGGCGCACTAACGACTGTTCCTCGCGGTGCCTTATGGGTAACATCCGCTGCGCGCTGACCTGCCATTTTGTTGTTGCGATCAGAGCAGGGACGCAGCACACGATATCCTGTAAATGAACAATAATCCTCTCTTATAGCGGGTCAGAAGTAAAGCCGAGGCACGATGCTCTCTGCTGCCCAGTTACTCGATGAGTTGATGGGCCGGGACCGGAACCTGGCTCCGGACGAGAAGCGCTGTAACGTGCGCTGGGATCACGAGACTGTGAGTGCGCTGACCAGCAGATTAATACAGTCACTTACTCACACACACACACAGCTCTGCAGATCACTAAACTAGCTAAAGAACAGATCTAGATGTGTTTGCTTGTACCTTATATAAGCTTAGCTGAGCGGTGTGTTGTGTGCTAGTTAGTCCAGGTTGTTTGGATCCGTTAGCTTAGCACGCTAAGCTCGTGTCTCATTGTTGAACACATGCGCTAAACACGCGACTGCAGGGTCCCGCCCTCCTCTTTATATCTTTATTATGTGCTTTTCTAAGATAGAATAACTTTTATTAGTTTGCAACAAGCGCTGAGTGTCAAACTTTTGCGTGTAACTCGTCCAGCACCGTTTGAGCTACATATGAATGTTCAATTAATGTGACTTGAGGAGACGGATTATATTACTATTCTTTCTGTGGTTTTAAAACTGACAAATCACACTAGAGCTACGCCGAAGGGGGGACCTTATAGATACACATGTGACCCTGAATTTTTTTAAATTGAGATTTATGCATCTGAAAGCTGAATAAACAAGCTTTCCATTGATGTATGGTTTGTTAGGATAGGACGATATTTGGCTGAGATACAACTATTTGAAAATCTGGAATCTGAGTGCAAAAAAATGTAAATATTGAGAAAATCGCCTTTAAAGTTGTCCAAATGAAGTTCTTAGTTTTTATATATTTACAGTAGGACATTTACAAAATATTATAAAATATATAAAATTGCTTTGGAAATGTAATAGGTTACAGATTACAAGTTACCCTAAATGCAATAAGCAGTGTAACTAAAATGTAAAAAGTAATGTAACTGATTGCGATTACTTTTTTTATTACGTTTCTAAAATTATGTTTTCAACTGTTAATCATTTAAAGCTGACAGGGTTGATCTTACAGAACTCAACACTGATGCCAGACTTTCAAAATCCTTCATTGTTTGAATTAAGATTAGGTTACACTTTATTTTGAAAGACCAACTTTAGACATGCTACTAACTATAAGTAACTACATGTCAACTAATTCTCATTAATTTGCAACTACATGTCTACTAATTCTCAGAGTAGACTGTTAGGGTAGGTTTAGGGTTAGTAGAATAAGTTTCTCGTAGTCAGTGTGTTGTATGTTGTGGACCCATCAAAATAAAGTGTTAGAGGATATTAAGCAGACAGTCTACTAATACTCTAATGACTGCTAGTTGACATGTAGTTAAAGTTACTTACTGTTAGAAGAATGTCTAAAGTGGACTATCAAAATAAAGTGTTATTTTGTATTAAAATATAATTTTAAATCTAGTGTAAATGTAGCCTTACATCTATGCGGATCGCTTACACACTACAGCCTCACGTGTGATCCATGTCACTGGGCTTAACCATTGTAAACTAGTGTTTTTCCTTGATTCCTCACCAGAGCCAGTCACCAGCACTTGATTTAAGCACATCAATCACACTGCATGCTTATTGGCCCACTGACGTTGACGAGACCCCTTTATAGAAATTTGGTACCGAAGGACAAATTAGGGCTGCATGATAAATCGCATGCGATTGTCATGCGCATCTTGTCAGTAAAGCCGGTTCTGTGATCAGTAGTAAATCTCCATCATGTGCTTTTCAGATGAAGCATTTACTTCACAGAGCCGTAGTTCACTGACAAGCTACGCAAACAAATCGCAGACGATATCATCGATATTATAAAATTTCAAAATGTAACTTAGTCAGATTTATTGCGCTTCTATTTCATTGCGCTCCGTCTGTTTGACGTGCATCTTTTGCTGTAGTGTGTCAGTACAAAATATCATTTTATTTTCAAACATTCATTTTGCCATTAACTGTAATAATTCAGTGTGATATTTGTTTGCACAAGGAGTCTGACAATTCTTAGTTTTTATATATTTACAGTAGGACATTTACAAAATAACTTCATGGAACATGATCTTTACTTAATATTCTAATGATTTTTGGTATAAAAGAAAAATTTATAATTTTGAGCCAAATGTATTTTTGGCTATGTCTACAAATATACCTGTGCTACTTATGTTTTGTGCTCCAGGGTCACATATAGATACCGAAACATCATGGAGTATGTGGTGGCCTGTTTTGACTTGAGCCATTTGCCCATATTCATGTCGTTTTCACTGTGTGCTGCATGTAAAATGAGTGTTACCTTGGCTTTATTTCTCCAGTTCTTCAGCAATTGCACTGGCTTCCAGTAAAGTATCGAGTTGAATTCAAGATCTTGCTACTTACTTACAAGGCACTTCATAATCTTGCACCCCAATACCTTACTCAACTTCTTCATGTTTACACTCCTTCACGTGCTCTCAGATCCTCATCTTTAATTTCTCTTGTGGTACCTCGGATTCGACTAACTACCATGGGTGCCAGATCTTTTAGCTATGCTGCCCCCCGCCTATGGAACTCACTTCCACCTGATATTCGCAACAGCGATTGCCTGCTGACTTTTAAAACGCATCTTAAGACACATCTTTTTATACAGGTTTTCTTATGTTTTATTGAGTCTTTCCTGCACTTTATCTGTATATGCGGAGTGTTTGTTGTGTGTTTTTTATTGTGTAGTGATTTGTATTTATTTTTATCTTTGCTTGCTTGTGAGGTGACCTTGGGTGTTTTGAAAGGCGACATTAAATAAAATGCATCATTATTATTATTATTTATTTGTAGAAATATGATTCCCAATGCACACAGACTTCCCAGAATACTGAGTGCCCTGTTGGTTACAGTGCTTACTTCCTTTTTAATTATATTTTTATTAAATATTTATTTATTTGTGAAAAATACTTTGTCATCTAAAGTATAAGTATGTTTATTTAACACATTTATTTTTTTTAATTCATTTTCAAATGATTTCAAATTTCTTAAATATTAACTAAAATAAATACAATTATGCCGGCTTTATATCGGCCATTGGCCACCCTGCTGTCCAAGATATCGGCATCGGCTGTCAAAAAAACAATATCGGTCGACCACTAATTCGAGTACTCGTGAGGATTTAACACAAGTGTTCACTCTTTTCTTCAGGTCTGCAAATACTACCTGTGTGGCTTTTGCCCCGCTGAACTCTTCACAAACACACGATCAGACTTGGGTAAGGACAGCTTCTCAAATACATTTGTCTCGTTTTATTCTTGCGATCCACATTGTAATGTATAATTTTTTTCCCAGGTCCTTGTGAAAAAATCCATGATGAAAACTTGAGGAAAATGTAAGTAACTACTCTGTGTTGGGTGAATGTCATGAACACATCCCAAATCAGATGGTAAAAAAAATAAAAAGTTAATTTTGTTTTTTAGAACCATTAATATTAACACAAATATTAATATACATTTTTTTTTTTTAATTCTGACATTCATTAACATGAATTTCCTCACAGTTTTCTATTATATAATGCAAAAAAATCAAATTTTTACTCTAATACCTTGGCAGATTTTTTATTCCCATTGTTCTCAATAGTGATTGTCATTACTGTACAAATATACTATGTTTTATTTAGTTACGTTTACTAGATTTTTAAAAAATTGTTATTAGAATTATACTTCAGGTTGCCATGAACACGTTCTACAGCAAAAAATCTTGTTTCTAAAAATGATCTTATTAAAAAAATGTTCTTTAAGCATAAAACTATTTCAAATTTTACCCCAAAATTATTATTTAGTGTAATTTTACCAGTACATGTTTTAAAATTTGTATCATATGTTAATGTAAAAAACTGTTACACATTGTCTTAGGTATGAGAAGAGCTCCCGCTTTATGAAGGAAGGATATGAGCGAGACTTCCTGCGGTACCTGCAGAGTCTCCTGGCCGAGGTGGAGCGCAGGATTCGGAGGGGCCATGCGCGTTTAGCCCTGTCACAAGCCCAGCAGAACTCTGGAGTAAGTATTTCCATAGCCTTCACCGTCTACATTTTTTATATGACCACATTTTGGAACATATTTATTGCCTGGCTCTTCAGCAAGCCAGCCGGTTAGGACAATCTGTTAAATTCATATGCAGTTTTTATTATAATAATATAGAAAAAGACGTTTGTACACTGTGTCGAGCACAACTCACACCGAACTCTGATTTCCAGGCACCGGGTCCATCTGGGAAGAACGAGGAGAAATCTCAGGTCCTCACCACGAAGATTGAGGAGCTTGTTGTTCAGGTAGGTACTGCCTGTCATAAGCTGAGAAATGAGCACGAATGTGTTCAGAGAGGCATGTAAATGTGTGTTTGTGTGTGCTCAGATTGAGGAGTTGGGCTCGGAGGGCCGTGTTGAGGAGGCGCAGGGCATGATGAAGCTGGTGGAGCAGCTGAAGGAGGAGCGGGAGCAGCTCAGTTCCACTCCTTCAGTGAGTAACACATCCAGGTTTAAGCAGACATGCGGCCTGTTTTTGTATTTAATTGTAAAAGGTACTGACATGATTTCTTGTTTGTCAGACGATTGAGAGCTTTGCAGCTCAGGAGAAGCAGATGGAGGTGTGTGAAGTGTGTGGCGCTTTCCTCATAGTTGGTGACGCTCAGTCCAGAGTGGATGATCATCTAATGGGCAAGCAGCATATGGGATATGCCAAAATCAAAGCCACGGTCGAGGAGCTGAAGGTGAGGTGACGGTCAACCTTTTGATTTAGGGTCCGTTTCTTCCAGTTCTATATTTTACAATATAGTTATTTTTGAAAAATTCAACAAAAACATAGGACTCATTTTGTAAGAAAAACACATTCTTAATGTTAGATAATTTGGTAATGCATGGTTTTGAATTAACTTGATTGGCACAAATCAAAAATTTGGTTATGTTTACACCATGATTTTCTGTTTGGTCCCACAGGAAAAGCTGCGTCGGCGCTCAGAGGATCCGGAGAAGGATGAGCGAGGCAAGAAAGAGAAGGAGGACCGGGAGCGTGAAAGGGAGGAGCGTGAGAAGAAACGCAAAGAGGAGGAGGAGAGAGAGAAAGAGCGAGAAAAGGAGAGGGAGCGAGAGCGGGAGAAGGAGAGGGAACGTGAGCGGGAGAGGGACAGGGATCGGGAGAGGGAACGGGACAGGGACAGGCGCAGGAGGAGTCACTCCAACAGCAGACACTCCAGCCGCGCGTCAGACCGCCGCAGGAGCCGCTCGAGAGACAGGAAGAGGTCCAGGAGTAAGGAACGTGACCGGAAGCGCAGCAGGTACGCAACTCTCACAGCTCCTAGACGCACAAGCTGAGCTGAAAATGTGCAAAACAATATATATATATATTTTTTGTTTTCAAAATATATTTGTTTGATATGCTATTGTAGTATTTATTTATATTTCAAATTGGCTTTTATTTTTCAGTTTTCATTTTTATTTTAAAGTCTGGGTTTTTTTGTTTTTGTCATTTTTGTTTTTGGGGGGTTTTCAAATATTTCTATTTTTTTTTTATTTCAGTTTTAGTCATTTTAGTGACTAGTTCGACTTTCTTTTTTCAGTGGAAAGGCAATGCTTATAATTTTCTAGATTTTTTCCATCTTGTATTTATTTCCGTTTCATTTTAGTTAACGAAAACTGTTTTTAATAAAAATTGGCTTTTATTTTTCAGTTTTCATTTTTATTTTAAAGTCTGTTTTTTTTTGTTTTTGTCATTTTTGTTTTTGGGGGGTTTTCAAATATTTCTATTTTTTTTATTTATTTCAGTTTTAGTCATTTTAGTGACTAGTTCGACTTTCTTTTTTCAGTGGAAAAGGCAATGCTTATAATTTTCTAGATTTTTTTCCATCTTGTATTTATTTCCGTTTCATTTTAGTTAACGAAAACTGTTTTTAATAATTTGATTTATTTAACAATACTGGTTCAACACACTTTACTGTCACCTGTTGTGGCAGTTGTGATTTCTGTAACTTGTACTGATGGACGAAATATTACACGTCAACAGGAGCCGTGACCGAGAGAGGAGGCGCAGCCGCGAGCGCTCGGACAGGAAGCGACATTCTCGCAGCAGGGAGAGGAGGAGGTCCCGCAGCTCTGAGCGCAAGAGCCACCGGCACCGCAGTCGCAGCAGAGACAGAGAAAAGGACAGAGGAGACAGAGACAAGGACAAATCCTCTAGGGACAAAGGTGTGCCGTTTAATTAGTTTAATTTTGTTGCAAAGTTTTTGATCAGAGCATTGAGTCTTTGTTGACTTTTAAACAGCACTTAGGGTGGTTTTGTTTTTGTTTGTCATTTTGTTTTTGGATTTTGTTTTTTTGTATGTTTTGGTTTTGTTTGATTTGTTGTTGTTGTTTTTTAATGTTGTGTGATTTTGTTTCGTTTTTCAAAACGACAATATTGACTTATTTTGACATTTGATTAGAGCGGTTTAATGGAAGAAGTAAAATAAAGAACCATTTAAGGTTTAATTTTTCTGTAGTTGCACATGCATTTTTTTTTTCTTCGCTTTTCATAAATGTAATTTTTAGCTCAAACATCTCTTGTTTGTATCATTTTGTTTTGGGGTTGTATTTTTTGTTTGTTTTATTTTGTTTTATTTTTTTGTTAGTTTTGTTTGATTTATGGTATTTTTTTATGTTTGTTGTATCTGTTTTTTGTTAGTTTTTTTTGTCAAAAAGAGGAAGCATTTTGACTTATTTTAGCCAGTTAGAGAGATTTAATGGAAGTAAAATAAAGAACCTTTTGAAGAGTTCATTTTTCTGTAGCTCCATGTGTATTTTTTTTTTATTTTTTGACGTGCAGAATTCCCTCATCGTTACATTAGAAGTTTCGAAAGGTTTTATTGCAAGAGTTTGAACTGACTTGCGAAACTAAATCAAATATGCCTAATCTAACTCTATATTTCTGAATCACCCAGATAGCCATGTCCATTTATTGTTTATCTCACAGAGCACAAGGACTCCTCAGATGAGAAAAGGAGCAGCAGAAAGGGCTCGGTTGAAAAGTCTAATGAGCTCTCCAAGCCCGAGTCCATGGAGGCGGAGCCTCCCAAAGCGGAAGTGAACGGCACCGCGCAAGAGCTACATTCTGAAGGTGACACACAGTCCAATTAAAACTGATCTGATAGGACCTCAGATCAGCCCCAGGTAAGTGCACCGTCCCGTTCGGCCCGGGTCTCTCCCCTCTCCCCTTCCCCCCTTTTTCTTTCAGTTCTGTCTGTGATTTTTCTTCCTGTTTTTTAATAGTGCATCGTAAGTATGCACTGAAGATGGGGACTAGGCTGATGAAACGGAAGAAAGTAGAAAGAAACAAACCCAGAGGGAAAGGCCAGTGTAGTCCTGAAAAACATGCTTGGAGGTACCTCGTTTTGTATCGGTCATACATCTGTCTCTTTAGACAAGTTCTCTTCCAAATTTTTATTTTTTTTTCCTAACTCTGCCTTTACTACCTCAACCTGTTAACTCTATGCTCGCAGTAAGATTAAACTAGTTGACTGAACTTTGTTTTTCACATATGAAATGATTGTGTGCTCATATGCATGTACATGCATAAGCACACAGCATTTTACCATCTGATGTCTATAAGGTGTTAAGAGGTCCAAAGAGTTCATTCAGCTGTAATGAATACATATGTATTTTTTTTGTTGGAGTTACATGGATATGTTGCACTTTTTAATACCGTCTGTTCTTAAAGTTGAGATCTGATAGCTTTGGGATGATGGAAGTGTAGGGTTAATGAATTATTGCAGCTGACTTCCACACCTCACACAGCGTTGGTGTTGTGAGCGACCCCCCCCCCATGAAAAGCCAATTTAAAAATCAAGGATACTGTCAATCTGTGCAGGTATTCACCAAAGGTACTCCTTTCACTACCCACATCCATTTGAATGCTGTTGCCTGTGAACGTGTCTCAGAGCTTGATGTTTATTTACCCAATCTCTTTTCTCCCAGTTTTAAATGTTCTCAGTTTTGCTTTCTGTTGGTTTCAAGTGCCAATGGTTTACTCTACGCCGTAACGGGTGGATGTCAGGTTTACAGATGAGCCCAATTGATATCCCACAGTAACCTATCAAACCAGATCAAGCTCAAAACAGTTCTTTCTCCTTGTTTGTGTCGCTTATTTTAATTTTGCCTGTTCGGTAACCAGTTATAGGTTTGAATTAGGGCTGGGTGATATAGCTAAACAAACGTACATCAGTTCATCTTATTGATAGGGATGTAACGATTCACTCAACTCACGATTCGATTCACGGTTTTGATTTCACGATTCGATTCACAATTTTTTTTTACAAAATGAGATATAAGACAAATTTTCAATTAAATGTCTTATATTATTGCTTGGACAAAATGCTGCACATTTCTTTGTGAAATTGAAATATAACACTATAATAGTATACTAATATAGCACTTGCATATTATTGCTCTTTTGTTGGTTTTGATTGCTTCTATTGTCCTCATTTGTTAGTCGCGTTGGATAAAAGCGTCTGCTAAATAACTAAGTTTAAATTGAATGTAAATGTAAACTAAATAGAAATTTTAAAACAAGCCCCTAATCAAATAAATAAGTAACACAACATAAAATAAATCTCTTCATATAAACAAACTAAGGCTTTGTCTGTGCTCTTTCCATTTAAAATTAGAGGCAACCAACACATATTAACTTTAATATGCAATATACAGAGGCAAGATAAAAAGAAAAAATACCATCTAAACTTTTCTAAAGACAGTAAGTTCCCCTCAGACATACATTCATATAAACTCCTACCCCTAATTGAATCGCGATATGTTTAGCATCTCAACTGATTTGAATCGTCACATATTTGAATCGATTGTCAACCGGCTCGCGGTTAATCGTTACATACCTACTTATTGATGAAATTGAATGTATTTATTAGCTCTCAAATGGGCTTAAAGGTTGATATAAAGTTTTTTTTTTTTTCTATGATAAGAGTAGCCACCATTTCACTATCATAGCCTGTTCAAAATGGCTACAAAATTCAAAACGAAAGTTGTAAAACAGTGGGAATTAAAAGAATATATATATATATATATATATATATATCTTGTGTATGCACAAGGGCTGTCAAGTGATTATTCATTTTTTTTAATCTAATTAAATGCATGACATATTAATCACACGTCAGTTTGGCTTTTTAATTTTTTTAATTTTAAGATGAATTAAAACCATTAAATAGACATCACAATCTTTTGCGAAATTAAGCAGAACTTTTTTCCGTAAATATTCACACCAAATGAATGCATTATTGTCAGCCCTAATATGCACTAATATAACAATACATAGGAATAAACGTTAATATTTACTTATGTTGAATCACAGTTTTGAATTGGTTCAAACTGTGTACATTTTTTATGCAATTTTGCTATCTATCACTGCTGATTCTATCAGGGATATTGGATATATCGCTCAGCCCTAGTGAGAATTAGCTTGTGTTTTAATGCAGGTGTGTCTTTTTGAAGTAAACTTTTACTTACTTTCTCTCTCGTGTTTTGTCTAAATTCGCTACTTGTGTTGTCCTTAAAGTAGCAGTGCATGCTTTCAGAGCAAGATCAGCCACCTACAGTGTCACAGTCTGGCCGTATAGAAGAGGGATATCAATTCTTTTAAATATTTCATGGTTTTATTTGTGTGCTTGCCTTCAATCATTTTTACTTGCAGCCGAGCAGTTACTATCGCTGCCGCTGCTGTTTAAAAAATATAAATCTCAAGATGAAACATTTGAAAACTGATAAAGAGTGTAGAACAAAGATGATGATGATAAAAGTGATCCAATGTATTTCTTGCTTAATTGTGGTTTGATAGTTTTTAAAAAGCTGTGTAAATGAGACTGTTAATCTGGTGTAATGTTTTTGCTTGTGCTGTAAATGTGTCTGGCTTCACGCACTAATGGAGTTTCTCTGACCATTTGTGTACATCAGGGGGAGTTTGAACAGCTGCGAGAGGAAGACCTGAAGACCTCCATCCGACAACTCTCCTCCGCTGCTTTAAAACAAGGTGAACCACAGATGTAGTGGCCTATATGATAAAGATGTAAATGTAAAACGGTCCCTTTTTCTGCATTTCCACAGGACCCTTCGTGTTTTTTCAATTATGTTTGTTTGGTTTTCTTTGGTCTCACTGCTATGAGCTGGCGTAGATGCACATGCAGGTCCACCATTATTTCTGTCAGTATGCATTCAGAATGAATCAAATACTTGTGGCATGTTTGCTCTGTACAGTCCGCTCTCACTTGGCACGTTAGAAATATTGACGATTGGTTCTGCCCGGTATTTTGACTGGAAGCCTTAAAGGTCTCTCAACTGCTTTGGTTTTCCCCTCTGTATGCTAAATCCCAAATCTTTACACGGTTTTAGTTTAGAGAAGTGTTTTCATTTTGTTCCAGTTTTTAAAAAACCTGTATTTGTCCTGAATAAAAATGAAGCAAAAAATGCTGTCGTGTTGTTTTTCAAAGCGCTATGGGAGCATGCAAAAGATGGCAGAACTGTGAGCTGACCTGCTCGCTTCAGATACCAGAAAGTTTTTCCTTGTTAAACTCGTTTAACGCCAAAGCAATTTTGCTGCTGTTAGTACATCAGAGGTCAAAAAAACTTGATCAAATCTGACAGTGACAAAATATTTAGTAGTATGTCCAGGATTGTGTTTATTCTACACTTTTATTGTATTTTATCAGTTTAAATGTGTCTCAATGTATGCAAATTCATGATTTCCTGGAAAGGCATGTCGGTTCACTTAGATGGCCGTCTTGGTGACTAATTTTTTGAAGATGGATTTTCTTGAAAGGAAATGGCTGCCGTCTCCTAAACTGTCAAGTGTTTGCTAAATAACAAAATTTAATGTGAATGTAAATAACAAAACTAAATTTAAATTTTAAAACAAGCCCCAAATCAAATCCATAAGTAACAAATAAAATAAATCTCTTCATATTAACAAAATAAGGCTTTGTCAGTGCTCTTTCCATGTACAATTAGAGGCATCCACTGCATTTTCGATTTGAATCGTCACATATTTGAATCGATTTTCAACCGGCTCGCGGTTAATCGTTACATCCCTAATCGAGACTGATTGAATACAAACCTGCAGACTCGTTACCTTCGTGTACCAGGGTAAACTGGATACTGTTTGTTAAACATGCATCTTAACACTTCTCGTGACGCACAACACATTTCCTCTGATTGAGGTACCTGAGAATTTAAAAGAATCCCCTTGGTTTATCAAATTAGCCCGTTTGAATTAAATTTGAACGGTAAAGTACCTTTTTATTCAGCTTCGAGTTTACAGGGATGGTAAGCCAGTAAATCTACATAAAATTTGACAATAGCATGGTAAAACTTCGTTTCTTTATTTATTTTTTTTCGTGTTGAATAGATAAAATCGAATTTTTGAGCGCAAGCAGAGATATTTCTATAACTCAAAGCGCCCCCTTGAGGAGGAAACATGTAGTGCAGTTATAGTCATGTGTTATTTGTGATCACTGCCACTAGATGGAGACACATCTCTGAATGAAATCGTGAATGAAAAAACAGACGTGCATGCAGAACGAGCAAATATTATGACATATTTTACATAGTTGAGTCCTTTCACACCCAGTGCAAGGGAAATCCTCTGCCTCCCTTCCCTTTTCCTTACACTTCAGATCAGATCAGCTCACATTTACAGTGAGGGAACTGCTGCCATACAGGCTGTATGTATCATAAAGCATATCCGTGTGTATGTATATTAATGATTGAGTAATCAAATACGTCAGGCAATAAGTAACGATATGCAATGTATGCAGTTATTTAATGTATGGAAATTAACTGAAGACCATCTTGTCCACCTCATTTATAAAACAGAAGTAGAACGAATGCCTGTTTAATTTCTAATGTAGTTTTGTAAATTGTGTCTTTTAATTAAATGCAGCGATTTACATAAGAAGGGTTTTTGTTTTCGTAAAGTTTACATACTTTCTGCTCGTAAATCTCGAATAAGGTCCAGTGTTTTCTTTCAGCAACGCAGGGTCTAAAATGTCTTAATATCGATAGATATTTATATATATATATATATATAAACATATCTTGGTATCGATTCGCGCCTCTGTTGTCACTGCTGTGACGTAGTTTGCGCTCATGAATATGAATTAGTTAAAGCCGACGATTCCTCGTGCGTCCAATCACATACCCTAATTAATATTCATGAGCTAAACATATGCCATAGTAGGATTGACTTCCGGCTAGAGTTCCCAGACGCCCTCTTTACGTCAGTATAGTCGCGTTTAACTTTTCAAACGGGACCCAAACACACACACACGGGACAGGGGACACTCAACGGAATCAGTGAGCGTGTCGCTGGGACAGTTTATCGCTATCGTTTACGATATCGGATTATCATTCGTTTTAATCCGTAAGGACATGTCTAATTAAAGAGGACTTGTTCAAACCGGACTGGATAACATTATTTAATAGCGAAGTAGATAAGTTTTTTTTTCTTTTTCTTAAACGTCGCAGTGGATGATAGTTATGAAAGGACTGACATGGAGAGGCAGGATGACTGAAGATATTTAGCGTTTAAAGTTTCTGTGTCACTTACACGCGCAACATGAGTTGCACTGAAGCGAGTTATTTTGACAGCGGAGCACACAGACTGTGATAAAGCTGCTAAACTTGACATTTGAAATTGAATAATTATACTCTTCCACGTGCTAAAATGATCTCGGAGGAAAGAAGCAGTCACGTCTCTAAACAAGCTCTGGGCTTTCCTGTCGGGTTCTTGATCCGCTCGCCCAAGAGACGCCTGGCAGTGCTGGGCAGAAAGACCAGCAATGGATCTCTGCAGTGAGTTATTCATACACTTATGCATGCCATCTGTTTACTTTGAACACACTTGTGACACAAATGAAGAAAGAAGTGACCCCTGAAAGCATTTGAGGACTTAAACGCACTTAAACAAGGATGACAGTGATGGCATTAGATAGCAGAATAAGTGTCAGTTTTTATTTTAAATAACATACAAGCAAAGCATTCGCCAAAAAGACATTTGCTAGAATGTAATTATGCAAGATATAGTGTACATAATGCACTTTCTCATGTCGGTAGCCTGATAAAATGTTGCTCTAATCATGCAATAAAAATACATAGTCTAAAAAATACTGTGCATTTGAGAATTGGTGCTAAATTGCTTTGCTCAATTCTCTAATAATAGAACTGTCTTGGCAAGTGTGAAGAAGGGGCAGACCTTTCTTTCTTTCTTTCTTTCTTTCGCAAATATCCTGGCCATCTTTTCGTATAAAAATATAAGGTAACACTTTACAATAACGTTCATAGTTAACATTAGTTCACTACTTTAATTAACATGAACTAAGAATGAACAATGCTTCTACAGCATTTATTAAAATTAATATTAATTTTAACATTTACTAATGCATTAAAATCTAAAGTTGTGTTTGTTACCATTAGTTAATGCACTGTGAACAATGAACAACTGTATTTTTATTAACTAACATTAACAAAGATGAATAAATACTCTAATAAATGTATTGCTCATTGTTTGTTCATGTTAGTTAATACATTAAGCAATGTTAACAAATGACACCTTATTGTAAAGTTGACCAAATATATATATATATATATATATGTGTGTGTGTGTGTGTGTGTGTGTGTGTGTGTAACAACTTGGTAGTAATATTAAATTATTTACATATTGATTTATTATTGTTACTATTATTATCATATTAGCTCATCTTACATGAAGAAAAACTCACATAAAAGTATGCCTCAGTGAAATAATAGGCTAAAATTATTTTATATAATTGTAATATTTAATATTTATTTTTTCGTAATTGTATATTTATACACATTTTATACAGTAAAATTGTCTTTTTATAGTTTTTATCGTACAGTTTTGATTTCTTTGTCACAAATGCAAGATTAAAGCAAAAGTAATTCTGTATTATAATTATTTGAAAAGATGTTTAATCGTTTTTTTTTTTTTTTTTGCTGGATGAAAAAGAAGGTTTAAATTCACATGCATCTTAGCTATAGACAGTATATGAAAAGAGTAGTAAGAGTAGTCCTATTACACTCATTCTCTCATTGTATCTAAAGCAGACTGAGTGCAGATGCTCACATCAGCCACATCAGCA